GACTTCGGAAACGGGTCGTGTGCGATAAGAAGCCTGGAAAGAAGCTTCGCGGGTGCTGGTGGGTGTTTTACGTGATTCCTCGTTCAAGAGGCGGCCAATCACGTAGTCGAGGGTAAAATTGTCGGGCTCAGTAGAGTCGAGCGAAACAACAAGGGTGTCGTATGCGTCGGGGAGTCCCATGGTGAGCACAAGGATTATATCTTCATCGTCAACGGTAATGCCAGCCTTTCCTAGCCGGAACGCAACATTTCGCACATCACCAATCCAAGATGCCATCTTCTGCTGGGTGTCCATCCTCATGGACATGAATTCACGACGCAATGCCATCTTCGTTGCAAAGCCTCGGGAACGGTGAACCTTTTCCAGTTCCTTCCACACTTCACATGCAGTTGCAGGAGTCATATGTGCTAGTTGTCCAACTTCAACAGCGAGGACCATTTCCGCACGGGCCTCAGCACTCTGCCTATCCCAGTCGCGGACAGCCTTCGAATTCGGTCCAGTCGTCGGTCGTGGGGTGATCCCAACAGCAACATCATGAATGTTCTTTCGAACAAAAACAGCTTCCATCAAGATGCGCCAAATTTCGTAGTTTTCGTTCGTTAATTTCGTCATGCCTTTTGCCTCCGTCATCGTGGAAGTTGTAGGGCGTCAATCGGTTCGGGTTCGTGCTGCTCGGCGCAGAATTCGGTTTCAGTACACGTGCTTTCGGATACGGCACGATCGGTTCGGGGTTTGGTACACGCGCTTTCGGATACGGCGCGATCGGTGGGTTGGTACACACGCTTTCGGATAGGCGCGATCGGTGCTACTTGACGTAGACTTTCGGTGCCACTCGACGTGGGCTTTCGGGTACACGCGCTTTCGGATAGGCGCGATCGGTGCTACTCGACGTAGACTTTCGGTGCCACTCGACGTGGGCTTTCGGGTACACGCGCTTTCGGATAGGCGCGATCGGTGCTACACGAGGTAGACTTTCGGGGTTCGGTTCGTAAACAGATCGAGGTCAAGGCACAGTGGGAGTTGGGGGCCAATAACCTGTGAGAATGGGGTATCCAAAAGAGTGGGGAGAGTAGGGAAAGCAAGATTTCAATAATTTATTCCAAGATGTACGAGGGCTTTTATACCTCAGAGAACAATGTAGTATACAATCATAAACAGAAACATTGAACAATGGAGCGTACAATGTTTCAGGCCAGCTGAGACATGTTTCGCAACATTGCTGTGCATCTCCATGCCAGCATTCCAAACAGCCACGTAGGTACACGAGTGTACAACGTGTCGGCAACATGTCGGCTTGGTAATATTCCAACATATCGCCGATGAGGACTTCGTCCGGGTTGAATCTAACGTTTCGCTCCACTGTAACCTTGCGCTTGTTCGGCCAATAAATTCTGTAGCCTTTGCTCTGCTTGTCAAAACCAACAAACTTGCCCTCGAGAGCTCTGTCGTCGAGCTTCTTTGTCCCTTCTTGATGGACCCATGCCTTGCATCCAAACTCGTGGATGTCAGATAAATCGGGCTTCTTGCCCGTAGCGGCTTCGATGGGCATTTTCTTTACAAGTGCCCGTGTCGAGGTGCGATTTTTCAACCAATCGGCGTGCTTGACTCCTTCTCCCCACAGAAATTTGGGAAGTCCGGCCGCAATAATCATTGCGCGGGCATGGTCCAGCAGCGTGCGGTTTAAGCGTTCCGCCACGCCTTCCTGCTGAGGCGAATCGTGCACGTTCAAACGTCGCACGGTTCCCTGCCGCTTCAGATGAGCGGAGAATGCTTTCGATAAAAATTCTCCCCCTCGATCTGAATCAAGCGTTCCAATTCTGGCTCCTCCGAGTTCAATTTCGAGGACTCCAATTGTAGCGCCGCCGCGGTGTTGAAATACCCAGGCTTCATATTCCAGGTAAGCCTCGAATGTATCGCTTTTCTTGGTGATAATGTACAGCTCCGATTCACGCGACATGCAGTCCGTGTAGGAGACATAGTATTCCATCCCATTTATCGTTTTAACTTGAGCTGGTCCCCAGATGTCCGTGTATACGCGCTCGCCGTATCTGGTGGCTCGAGTTGAACGTGTTTTTGGGAACGGCCTCTTCGTGGCCTTCGCTCTGGCACAGGCTTCGCAAAATTCGGCCTTTGAGTCCATATCCAAGTTTATTCCTTCCACCATCCCTAGCCGAACGATATCCCGGGCTGCAACCGGCGATATGTGGCCTAAGCATCGATGGAGCTTGGTGAGCGTAAATTTAGTCGTTGTTGCGTTCGCTGCTTCTTCAGCCTTCGCACATCCCTTCAATGCGTTCGCCTCTAAGGCCTTCGCGGGATTCCCTCCGGACGTGTTCGCCATGCTGGCCTTCGCTTTGATTTCACCGGATGTGTTCGCCAACCTGGCCTTCGCTTGATTTCCTCCGGACGCGTTCGCCTCGCAGGCCTTCGCTATATTTTCACCGGATGTGTTCGCCTTCGTGGCCTTCGCTAAATCTCCTCCGGACGCGTTCGCCTTCCTGGCCTTCGCTTTGTTTTCACCGGATGCGTTCGCCGTCTCGGCCTTCGCATTTACTGCTGGCGGGATCTTGTAGAGTCCATTCGCCATCGGAATTCTTCCAATAATTCCGCGCTTCGGGCATTCGATGGTACACCTTCCATTTCCTATGGTAAGGCTGTAACCTGCGCGATCGAGTCGACTCGCCGAGATGAGGGTAAAAGCCATAGTTGGGGCATGAAGAGCATCCCGCAACGTGGCTGTGGTTGAATATTTCCCATTCGGCAGTTGAGTTTGAACATCTCCGCGCCCCACGGCCTCGAATGAACGCCCGTCGGCGGCGTACACGGGGATGGGTTTAATCGGAGTATAGTTCACGAATCGCGATTGGTCGGGGCAGAAGTGGGACGTCACGGCGGAGTCAATCATCTGATCTCCGTTCGAGTTGTTGGCCGCGAGTGCACTGGAGGTAACAAATGCAACATTGTCGTTACTGGTTGCAGCGTGAGCGTGATGCGCTTCCCTCCGTCCCTTATATTTGAATCCTTTCTGCTTGGGTCCCTGACCTTCCTTCCCTCCGCCTCTCTTCCAGCACTCGGACTTCATGTGACCTTCCTTGTCACAGTTGTAGCACCTCACCGTCGATTTCTCTCGTTCTCCGTGGGACCTTCCCTGGTCTCCATACCCGGATCTAACCCATGAATTCTTCGACGCTGGCTCTCTGGCTCTGGTTCCTGAATAATAGGCGGAGTTTTCTTCGCTGTGAGTGCGATTCTTGTCCGCTTGGAGTTTGCGGTGCTCCGCTTCCTCCGAGAGATGGCTGATGAGCACCCCAGGCGTTATGATTACCTTGGCGATGCGAGAGGTCGTAATAATTGTTGAAAGAACTGAGCGGTAAGACTCCGACATCGAGCCCTGAATAATTGCGACAAAATCATTGTCCGCAACTTTGGCACCAAGCGAAGCTAATTCTTCGTGTGCCATGCGCATTTGAGTGAGGTGAGCTATAACATCCTCCTCCTGATTACAGCGCATATCTTGTAGTCGCCTGCGGCGTTCCGCAACGACCAACTCGCTCTTGGCCTCGTACTCGTTTCAAACAAGCTTCCAAACTTGTGCAGCAGTAGGTGGATCCATGAGCGGGTCATCCGGCGATTCCAGCTCTTCGATAAGCAACAAAATCCGATCATTGACAGTGCTTACGATCTGCTGAATCACTTGGGCCTCCTTCTGAGCGTAAGCGTCGACTTTCTTCTCATTCTCCTCAATCTGTGCTTGCGTCGCAACAGTTGTCCTATCCTCCAGCAAAAGAGGACTCCCCGGCGTATTCAAATCCTTCGGTAAATATTCGTACGGCTTTCGGGCCGTCCCAACGAGGTGTCGATGGAGATTATGTGCCTTGATTGCGTGAATAGTCCGGCCTTTATAGGCTAGCCAGTTACCTCCGTTGTCCTGGAGTTTCGTAACCTGGTAAAGATTGAATGGAGAGGAAGAGGTAGACATGGAGAGGGAGTCGGCGTCGGGGCCCATAACCTGTTGGGATATGGGTGCGCCCGAGGGGCCTTGGAGTGTGGGAAAGGGGAGGAGAGGTGAGGACGGTTGGAGCGGGGGAACCATACTAATTGTTCTACATAATTTACAGGCCCTTATATATGTTTCCTACTCCGTATGTACAGCCACAATGACTCGAATAGACAACTCCGTGCCAGGCACACAACTCCGGTCGGACTTGAATATAATTTACCCATCTACTTACGGACTTGAACCAAATTCCCTCTTTAGGAAACTCTGGTTCACACTTCAACGATACCCTGGGAAACTCCGTACCGGAGTTGAGTCGAGTCACACTGACTCGCCAATCAACTCCGTCGTGTTCCTGGTTCCTGGCAACTCCGGCTTTGCTGCCGCTTGCCAAATTCCAACAGTGCTTACTCTACACTCCCAATCTCAGACTAACAGAGACACCTGTGGCTAATCCTGAGTTGCTCACGTCAATTTGACCTTCAGCAATAAAATCAAAATCACCTCCAACCACAAATCTACGACTGACTTCTAGGCTCTGAGCTCCTCTATTATTGAGAGTCATTGGATTTGAACCCCGGCAACAGTGAGTTCCAAGTGGAAGTAAAAGAGAAACCGAGGAAGGGAAATTGAAAAAGAAAGGAAAAGCTGTATCACCCGACCCTGAATCGAACAGGGACCTTCTGCCTAAATTCACAACAGCTCACAAGAGTAGCAGATGCACACCTTGTGCTATCAGGTGCATGCTCTACACTCCCAATATTAGATTGACAGAGACACCTGTGGCTAATCCCGAGTTGCTCGCGTCAATTTGACCTTCAACGATAAAATCAACTCCGGCCACAAATCCAAATCCACGACTTGCTTCAAGCCTCCTAGCTCATACCTATTATATTAAAATCATTGGATTTCAATCCCCGGCGAAAGCGAGTCTCGACTGAAAAGCAAAAGCGAAACCGAGGGAACTGAAAAAAAAAGAAAAAGGTACAATGAACGGGGCATATCACCCGACCCCGAATCGAACAGGGAACTTCTGCATAAACTACACACTATTTGGGAAAGAATAGCAGATGCACACCTTGTGCCATCGGGTGCTCCCTTTTACAGCCCCAATTTCAGATTAATAGACACCTTGACTCTCCGAGATCCCGCTCTGGCTTTCAAGTTGAAAATCAAATCAACTCGGGCACAAATGCATAGGCCCAGTCCTAGCCTCTTGGCTCCTCTATTATTTAGATTCATTGGATTTGAACCCCGGCGAAAAGAAGTCTCCACTGAAAAGCAAAAGAGAAACCGAGGAAGGGAAACTGAAAAGAATGAAGAATCACCCCACCCCGAATCGAACGGGGAACTTCTGCACAGCGATGAGGTTGGATACGCAATATACTGCAGACGCACACCTTGTGCCATCAGGCACTTCCTCCGCACACTCCACTTATAGTTTATCTGTGTAAAGTTGAGGTCAAAGATAATAAAAAGTCTAGGAAAAATCCAAGACAAAATGAATCACATTACCCAGGGTCTTGTGGCGAAACTTTAACCGCACCAACTTTTAATGCACACCATGCGCCATGTGCATCCCTTGCACCTTAAATCTCAGACTAAGACACACTTTCCAAGATCCCAGTTGGCTTTATCAAAGTCAAGTTGAACTTCAATAGTGTCGTTCAAAGCTGCTCCTACTTCTCTCCTACCCACGCTCCCACCCGCCTTCCCACCCACCCCCCCACCCCGAGCAGGAGCACGAGCAGGAAGCCCAAAAAGGAGAGCCCTTGCCAGTAGGAGTCTCGAGGGCTCCTTTTTGCAAAATTTCTCCTACTTGAATTTCCTTCTTAATGACTATTGCTCTTTACCCCGATATTTTTTCACAAAGTTGTAGCATTTCTCTACATACACTGACCTATAGAACCGGCTCCTTGGCCTTTTGAACCTTGGAAAACATTTGCAATGTTTTTGTTCTCCTACTTGCAAATTGGGTGGGGGGGTGGTTTCAAAGTTGCCCATTTTAAGCTCCTACTAATCGTCACATTTAAACCCCCTACTCCTTGCCATGCAATAATGGCTTGAAATATATGGCTCAAAAGTGAACAGCATATGGGGGGTGTAGAATAACATTTCAGATGGACTGGATTTTACCCCAAAGAAAAAGTTGCATTTTTGACGGAGAAATAACAAGTAGGAGCTGAAGTAGGAGCAACTTTGAACAACACTACTGTAGTTTGCATAAGTCCGTGAAAACACAAAAAAAAATCGCGCAGTCACGTGCAAGAAGAGGAACTCCCGAGGAGATTTCCAAAGTAACTATTACAGATAAAAGGCATTGTTTACAGGTCACAAGGTTCTTCGAACATCGGTCGATGTCCCAAATCAACATGCCGGAACACGTGACATTGAACAATATAGCTCGTGGACGGCCGGAAGGGATATATTGATGTCCTGACATGACAAAAAGCAACCACATGGTGAGACTTGAGTAAATTTACACGTGACTGTGCGATTTTTTTTTTCGTGTTTTCACGGACTTATGCAAATGACAGTAATTGAACTGAAAATGCCTACACATTGTTGAAGCATTCTTGACCTCGTTCCGAGCAAGGGAGTCGCCAATTTTGCGTCCTGAAAACCAAGCCCAAGAGACGAATGAAAGGTGAGCACGAAAAAAAGTAACATTACCCGACCCCGAATCGAATGGGACCCTTCTGCCTAACTTTGAATCAAAATCTCGAAAGAGCAGCAGACGCACACCTTGTGCCATCAGGTGAATACTTTACATCCCGGATACTAGACTAACAGAGACACCTGTGGCCGATCCCGGGTTGCTCAAGTCAATTTGACCTTCAACAACAAAATAAAATGAAATCCACGACTCGCTGCGATGCTCTTAGCTCCTCTATTATTTAGCAGCTTTATGTTTAAATTCCCAGCGAAAGCGAGTCTCCACTGAAAGCAGAAGAGAAACCGAGCGTGAAAAGAAAGAAAAAAACGCGATCGCAGGACCATCACTTGACCCCGAATCGAACAGGCCCTTCTGCATAACTATTCGTCGTCCCAATTTAAGACTTGCAGACGCACACCACCTTGTGCCACCGAGTGCTTGCCTGATACCCCGAGTCTCAGACTAACCGTTACTCCCTAAGGAGTAAACTCAAATTCTTCGGTTGAACTTCGACTGAACTAAAAATATTAATGCTCACACACTGTTCGAGCTTGTTCCGACCTGTAGTTATAATCAGGATTTCACCGATGTTACGTCCTGACAACCAAGCCCAAGAGACAAACAGAGAAGAAGAAAAAAAATCCTGAGGCTAAATCACCCGACCCCGAATTGAATGGGGCCCTTCTGCATAACGTTGACCATAACTCGCCTATATGCTACAGATGCACACCTTTTGCCATCAGGTACATGCTCTCCTTCTCCAATGTCAGACTAATAGGTGCACTTCCGAATTCGAATAACTCTCGAAGCACGATCAAAATGTCAAGCTGAACTCAAATCGAGTGAACTGCCCGGGTCTGTTTAACCGTGCTCCAAAATAGTAAATCCAACAATTGAATCGCCGCTCGCACTCTAGGGTCTGAAAGCAAGCCAAGAGATTTAGAGAAAAAGTTAAGAAAAAGAACAAACCATTACCATCTGACCCCGAATCGAACGAAACTCTTTTGCTTAATCTCCTGTCAGTAGCCTTAAGAGTAGCAGACACACACCCTGTGCCATCGGGTGCTTGCACTGCATCCCCAATCTCGGACTAACAGAGACACCTGTGGCTAATCCCGAGTTGCTCATGTCAATTTGACCTTCAACAATAAAATAAAATAAAACCCACCCACAAATCAGTGACAGTTGTAGCCTCCTAGCACCTCCCAATTATATCAGAATCATTGGATTTGAACCCTGGCGAAAATAAGTCTCCACTGAAAAGCAAAAGAGAAACCGAGGAAGGGACACTGAAAAAAAAGAAAGAATCACCCGACCCCGAATCGAACGAGGAACTTCTGCACAGTGATAAGTTTCGACATGCAATATACTGCAGATGCACACCTTGTGCCATAGGTGCTTCCCCTACATACTCCACTTATAGTTTATCTGTGTAAAGTTGAGGTCAAAGATAATAATAAAAAGTCTAGGAAAAATCCAAGACAAAATGAATCACATCACCCGACCCCGAATCGAACGAGGCCCTTCTGCATAACTATTCATCATCATCCCCTGTCAAGACTTGCAGACGCACACCTTGTGCCATCAGATGTTTGCTCTACACCCCCAATCTCAGACTAACAGATGTGTCGACTCTCCGAGATCCCAAGTTGGCTTCATCAAAGTCAAGTTGAACTTCGGTTGAACTAAAAATGCTCATACGCTCCGCGCGCATTCCTAACCTCGTTCTTAGCTGATTAAATGCTTAAGGAAGTCGCTGATTTTGCATCCTGAAAGCTAGCCAAGAGACTCGGGAAAAAAGTTAAGAAAAAATAACCAGACTACAGCATCACCCGACCCCGAATCTAACGAGGATCTTCTGCCTAGCCTAATACTTAAGACTCGCAGATGCACACCTTGCGCCATCAGGTGCATGCTTTAGGGTGTGTACGGCTGCAAGATACAGCCCGTATCTGCGTATCTGATGGGCAATGATTTCCTTATACAGAACCCTAGTCACATCAGGCGAGTATCGGTCACATTCCAGATGAATCAGTGATTTGTTACCAAAGCCTTTCTGCTCGTCGTGCGCGGCGACGGCGGACGAAAGTGGGGTTCTGAAATATTACTCAATTTGTGCGGTATTAGGCTATATATATGTTGAATGCAGAAATGTGATTTGGGTCAAACACATCTCGCAGAAAGTATGCCATTCAAGCTGTAGACACAATTCAATGTTGGCGGCGGGCGGCGGGCAGAGGGCGGGGCGGGCGGGCCAAGGCGGGCACGGTTGCGGCGATCATCCGACGTCGGGTTGATCGCACGGCACATCGTGCCGGGAATGTCACGCGGCATCTTCCAGGGTCTGCATAAGGAAATCATTGCCCATCAGATACGCAGATACGGACCGTATCTTGCAGCCGTACACACTCTTATATTTCCAATATCGGACTACCTGGTGCACTTCTGAGTAAATCTCGAAGCACGATCACATTTGAAGTTTGAACTCGATCTCTGAGTGAAATACCTACGCACACATCAAAGGGACTTCTTAACCTCGTCCCAACTAGTAGGCAGTAAACATGGTATAATTGAAGTGCAAGACACGCCCCTGAGGTTTTAAACCCGAGGACAGGGACAGAGGGGAAAAGGCAAGGGGAAAAAACATCTCAATACCAGCACATCACCTGACCCCGAATCGAACGGCACCCTACACTCGAACTTACAGTCCTCTAGAGTTTGAATGTCTCCAGCCCGAACCTCGAAGATTGGAAGCCTGACTCCGATCTCAACGTGCACCAGACTTCCAAGTTGCACTGGGCGGCACTGAGGAGATTCAAGTTGTCGCGATTTTGCCTCTCCGCCGGCGCCCGCTTTGTTTTAACACAACGGTGCTCTACGACTCGGGTAATGCGACATGGATGCGCCAGAGATACGATTACTCCGTGGGCTGGACTGTGATTTCCTGGACCGGCACAGCTTTAAGAAGGGGCGACTCGAACGCTGATTGACTTGAATTAGGTGTGATCCTCCTTCTTTCCCTGAAGATCTGATATATGCCGCAGCGGACGTTAACGTTTTTAGTTCCCAATATATATACGTATAAGTTAGAAAATATATTTCTAATACGACAAGCCACATTTCGGACACATTTTTTTACAAGTACAACTTCGTCGCCAAGACGAACAAGGTTGCGTGCGTATAACATTCGGGAGGGGCGGGTGTCTCGGAGACGGGATCGAATAATTTATATTTTCCTTTGCTCTGGAAACGACTCTTTGGGCGCGGTTGCGGTGGCCACATTATTTGTTCGGCGTTGAACCACTTTGAACCGTGGGAAATTTTAGATGATGCCGATCGCAATTGTTCATTCCTAAGGTTTAGTGTGGCCACAGGCTTCAAGCTAACTTGTAATGCTTTGTTACTTGTGATTTAGAAGGTCTTGTCTCATTTTGACAA